TTATACTCATAAAACCCCCTTTAAAAAACAAGAAAACGTGTGCTTGAATTTCAGTTGCAAAGCACAAAACAAGTGCTTAAATTAAAACAATGAATGAGCCTCGTGGCGCAGTGGTTAAAACGCTGTACTGCAGCTAAAACTGTGCTCACGACCTGGGGTTCAAATCCGTGTAATTTATACTCATAAAAACCCCTTTAAAAAACAAGAAAAAGTGTGCTTGAATTTCAGTTGCAAAGCACAAAACAAGTGCTTAAATTAAAACAATGAATGAGCCTCTTGGCGCAGTGGTTAAAACGCTGTACTGCAGCTAAAACTGTGCTCACGACCTGGGGTTCAAATCCCAGGTAGCCGGCTCAAGGTTGACTCAGCCTTCTATCCTTCCGAGGTCGGTAAAATGAGTACCCAGCTTGCTGGGGGGGGGGGGAAATGTGTAGCCTGCATAATTAAACTGTAAACTGCCCGGAGAGTGCTTGTAGCGCTATGGGGCGGTATATAAGTCCAAAAAAAAAAAAAACAAGTGTCATCTGTTGATTTCAAAAGGCTCTTTAAAGTTTGTTGATAAGATTTAGCAGTATAGTTGGGAAACAAGTGAGAGGAGGCATAAAAGCTCTCTTGGGGGACATGTGCAAATGTTCCCCACCTTTGATCTGGATTCTTCTAGATTCACTGCCTGAACTGCACCATGTTGTCACTTCAACTAAAACGGCATAGGCTCACCTTGGTTGCATTTGAAGAATCGGATTACAGTGTCTCATGAAATGCCCCAAGGTTAGGTGCAAGAATCTCAGTTTTCATAGATCTGAGCGAACGGATCCATTCATACTGTACTTGGTTTCAGTAATCAAAACTGCCCCTCACACATTGTATCTCATGTTACAGGACACAGGGCAGCAGGAACTTTGCAAGGATGCTGTGACATCTACATCAAAGAGCATTGCTCAGTTGCCTTGACAGCATAGGAGAAAGTAACTATCAGAACCATCTACAAATAATAGAACATTTGAAACTTGAGATGAAAAAAGGTCATCTCACCCCTTATAATCCCCAGAGTTTCAGTGGCAAAGAAACTAGCTTTTGTTGCATTTTTTCAACTGCACTGTAGATTGTAGGAGCCTTGATGGATAATATTAAATAGCCACCTAACATAATAGAAAGCCAAATGCAAACACAGCCCAAAAGCCAAGGTGCTTTGGTGTTCAGAAGTATTCTCGTATTTTGGTGAGCAACCATAAAGAATAAATCTTGGCTCTTCCATTTTAGTATAGGCACCTGTCACATTGCTTCAAACAGCTTCATTGCTTCAAAAAGCAAAGCAAAGTGTGCTTCTTATGTACCACCCTCTAGGGCCTGAAGCTCCCTATGGGTAGTTTACAATTCAATTATGGAGGCTACACATTGCCTCCACCCCCAGTGAGCTAGGTATGCTGTTTGCTAAACTCAGAAGGATGGAAAGTTGAGTCACCCTCAAGCCAGCTACCTGAGCCCAGGACCAAACTCAAGGTCGTGAGCAGAGTCTTCACTCCAGTACTGCAGTTTGAAGCCTAGCAGAACCAAGGTGAAGATATGCAGATGAAAGGATGAGGTTATGCTTATCAGAAGGGCTTCCATTCTCACTAGCTCCCATCGAGGTCTTATTAGACAAAACAAATATATAGGGAGAGAGTTGAAAGGCTACAGAAATTTGGGAGTGTTGAATGGCTACAGAAAACTGCCACATGCCCAACAACAAAAGTGTTCCTTAATTATTGCTACAGTAAGTAGACTCTTGTGATGGATATTTTACCATTTTTAAAAAAGAACTATAATCTGAGGATAATGCACCAGCTCACATAAATATATGCACTGGTGTTTTTTTTTGGGGGGGGGAAGAGTCAAACTGTGGTGAAGCAGTGATATTTGTATGTTACTAAAGTAGCTAGAGAGTGATTCAAGAAGCTCCCAGTTATGCCCCAACAAATCACGGAAGTTTGCATCAGTATTTTAGGATTTTCTTTTAAAAGCAGAGATTTGAACAAAAGTTCTTGCCACCAGTGGATGCAGCAAAAGAGAGCAGCACTGAAACAGATTGTCAGTTGAAGTTCCAGACAAAGACAAAATCTTTCCTGGAAACTGCCATCTCTGAGGCCTGATGAGAGCTCACATTGACCTCCGTGGATTCTATTTATTCCACAGTCACCCGACGGCAACAGCCCCATGTCCAGGCCTAGCAAAAGGAGGGTGGTACATCACATCTTAAGATTAACTGGAAATGGTTTTGCATTCTCTTTTAGGTAGCTGTTCTGAATCTTCACTACATTTAGGACTATCTGTGTGTGTGTGTGTGTGAGAGAGAGAGACTGTGGGATGGATAACTGACTCTGTTGCATGAGCTGAGCTACCAACTATTCTCTTTCCCTGCCCCCAATTTTCTACTGTTATTTAATAATGCCAGCCATTATTTGCACAGCTACTCTTTCCTTGTTGTGGATGCCTGTGTATATTCCAGAGTAAGTGGGTGCCAAACACACAGCTCTCTGAATTGAAAGAGGCAGCAAGTGGGCACACTTTGGCAAACTAGGCTATTGTGGGGGGACATCTCATTCCCAGGATATGTATTCCATGAGCATGGCTCCTGGGAGGTCAGTTGGAAGGAGCTTTGCATACAAACAAAAGGTCTACCACACTCCCAAGGTTGATGGTTCTGCATAATGCCTCCCACACACACACATATCTCCAAATCTAAGGTCATAGCCCTCTTTCTTTTTAACATTTTCATGGCAATTGCTTGCCAATTTCAAGGAGGAAGCTGTGCTAAATAGATACATTTTAATTATCTTCCTCTGCAGATACCAACGTTGTACGGTACATTCAGCTGACAGAAATGAAGCTTAGCAGATGTTCCCAGAGGGAAAAAGAAGCGTTGTGAGAAGAAACCCAGTTCGGTGGGCATGAGTAGACACTTCCTCCCTCATTGGGTAGCACTTCCACTTTATTGACTCCACCTTAGTTGACTTCCTGCCCGCTTCCTTCTTTACTTTTGATCTGGACTCAAGTGAACTGTTTGTTTTCAGAAAAGACTTGACCTGTGGATTTGACCACATCTACTTGCTGGCACAAGGATAACATTCCAGCTCTCCTAGCAGAATTGCTGCCAGAGTCGGCCGTGTCCTGCAGCTTTGGCCAAAAGCCTGAGGCAAGCAATGGAAGGGTGTTGACTTGGCCTTGCACTTGCTTACCAGTCGCTGCCTGTTTTACCAGCCATACCAGCCAACCATCAGGAGGCTCACTCTTTCAAATGCCATGGAAGCAGCCAAGGAAGAATGCTTTCAGCATCCGCAGAAGAGACACGAACTCCCACAACTCACTTTGGGAACTTCCTTCCACTTGTAGATTTTCATGGTCCAGAAAGACACCACCTGCTAAATAGCCTATGCCAATGAATGAGACTCATTTGCAATACATTCTGTTTAAAGCACAGGGGAAGCACAATGTACTTTAAGCAATGAGCTCCAAAAATTGGGAAGGGCTGTAGGGGACATGATGGAAGCTAAAAGACGATATGAAAAGACAGTATTATTTCGGGAATAAAATTTATGGAATGATTAATAGCAAATACACATTGCTTGACAGACAGCAATCCCTTATATATTTTTAGAAGGCATGTCTGGGCCCTAGTATGTAGTGGGGCAGCATGACTTTGTAACTGATTTCAGTTCAGACAGTGGAAACAGGAGCACTGAATTATGGATGTATCGCCATATTGATATGCACCTGTGGGCAAGTCATGTACCTTTCCCGTGCCTCAGTTTCTCCATCTGTACAGTGGAGATAATAATGCCTCCCTACCTCACAGGGGGTGTTGTGAGGGTTTGTTAGTTGATGTTTGTACAGTGCTAAATATTATTATTGGTACATGGGACTGAGTCTGTAATCTTTGCATCTTTCTTTCATTAGAACATTAGTACTAATCAGAGAGGGACACATGGAACAGGCCTACCAGCTTAAGAGCCAAAATGTTCATTATTTAGTAATACCGGGGCAAGAAGGAATCAGCATTTTGCCCTAGAAGTCCCTATGCTGATATGTGGGAGATCTCAGGTCATGCCCCAGCCAAATACAACTTGTTTAAGTTTCACTGATTTTAGAGAAAGCTATGCATGTTTTGCTACACCCTTGCAACCCAAATGCACAACATTGACCAGATCATACTTTTTAATGGACGGTGGTGCTTGCATTTTGTATGACTACAGCCTTATTCAGCTGATAGATCAGACCACCAGTACATCTAACACTATTCTGTCTACTCTCGCGGGCAGTAACTGTCTAGATCCTGAGGCAGGTATCTCCTACCCTGCTACCTGAGATACTTTAATGAGAAGTAGTGGAAAACAAACCCACAAAATAATGTATTCATCATTCCTTAAATTTGCAAATAGCTAATATCAATTATGGGGGGGAGGAACTATTTGAAAATCCCTCCTTCCATTTTGTATTATTCAGAGATTGCTTAAAGCCCTTCCAGAGGTCAGAGAGGGGTTCTGCATTACATTCATAATTAATATTTCATTGTAGGTGGTGTTGCTAAGGAGATGATCTTGCACTTTCCTGAAATTTAAGACACATTTTAAATCTAGAAAACATGCAGGTCTTCACTCAGCTCTGCAGCCTCCCCTCTCCCTAACTGGAAGATGGCTGTGCCACATAAACACCCCACTATCATATGATTTCTTGGGAAGCAAATGACAGAATACATTGTTGTTCTCTGCCCCCATACTTTCATCATTTTATGGCCATAAAAATATTTCAGGGCACAACTCCCATATAAGTCTACCATAGTAAAGAAACTGTCCAGCAAGAGCTAAGATGTCTGACCACCACATGTTTAAACCTGTAGATACCTTGTCAAAAACGTGTCAGGTTTTACATCCCACACTGTCTACAGATCTTAGTGATGACATGAAATTGTTAGAATTAAAACAACAGACACGGCCATGACAAACACTGTGTTGGATGGAGAGCAGACTCATGTTGGGACAGAATATTTCCTTCAGCTTTAATTACTAAGAAATAGCAGGGGAGGGGGAGAGATTAAAAGTGACTTTCCAGGTGTGGGGAACTGGGAAGGATTTCCTTCTTTCACAAAACATTATTTAGAACAGGTAAAACTATAGACCAATTGTCTTTCCACAGTCTTATAAAAACTTTACCAGTAATAAAAAGTATTCTAAAACAAAATCCCAAAAAAGATCAAGTTTTCATCGTTTCTCTATAAAACGATTTACCATATTTCTAGACTTCCTCCAAGGAACTGAGAGGGATATGTATGAGATTATCCTGTTTCATCATTTTAGCTACTGAGGTAGACTGCAAAGGTGGCCCATTATCAACCATCAACCTTCACCAGACGTGCACTGAAACTTTGCTTTTTCGTTACAATACTACACTGGCTTCCAAAAAACAAAACAAAAATGCTCTTTAATACTGTAATCTTAAATGCATATGGTGCATATGGTTGGAAATAAGCATAGGTTTATGTGAACAATTCTGTTAAGGAACTATCTCCCTAAAAGAAGCATCCTTTCACTGATCTGTGGGCTTGTGTCTAGAGATGGGCACAAAACGAACCATGAAGCAAAACCACCCCAAATCAGGCAATTTTGTGGTTCATTTCAGGGTACCTCGGGGGAAATGTGCCTGCCAAGATTGAAAAGAAACACTGAAATATTATCAGCATTGGTGATTTGTACTCTTCATTTTTGGGCACTTTGGCCCCTGACCAAATACAGTGGGGTCTCGACTTACGAACTTAATCCGTATTGGAATGCAGTTCTCAGGTCGAAAAGTTCGTAAGTCGAATCTTCATTTCCCATCGGAATGCATTGAAAACCATTTAATCCGTATCTGCTCTTTTCGTCCATAGAAACTAATGGGAAGCTGCTATTCTGCCTTCTGCCACTAGAGGGGGATATTTTTCTTTTTTCCTTTTAACCTAAGATGACTTAGCTTTTAAAAAAAGGGAAAAAAGAGTTCGTAACTCGAATCTAAGTTCGCAAGTCGAGTCCATATATTCCTATGAGAGCGGTTCGTAAGTCAAAACGTTCGTATGTCGAGCCGTTCGTAAGTCGAGACCCCACTTGTAGCTTATGGCTCTCAATTCCCTAGGCAACACTGGAGTGGACCCAGAGAAATAGGTTTGATTGATCCAAATTTGTATAGGTTTGATTGTCAGGTCAGGCAGCCAATCACAGTTTCCCTAGGCAACACTGGAATGGACCCAGAGAAAACTTTGTATAGGTTTGATTGTCAGGTCAGGGAGCCGATCACAGAGCTCCAAGTCTGCTCTCTTGGATAGCTGGTTATAGGAGGCACCTCCTGAGCAGCTCAGATAGTGGTTTCACTTTTGCAGCAATCAGCGTGAGAAGACAATGCTTAGCTAACGTCCTCCTCCCATGTCTGCTCCCTTTCTGTTCCCTCCCCAGTCCACCTCATGATGAGAAGGTAACACCATTTCAAGTTCCCTTGCATGAATCACTCATTTAATTGCCAAGCCTGCTGCTAAAGATCACCTTCCTGGGGGGACCTGCTTTGGGGAGCTATAACTTGGATATTCCAAATCCAGTCTTCACCAAACTTGGAAGGGTTCAACTGAAGACTTGTTTTGAGTTTGGCATCTCTGATTCATGCACAAACTGTTCTACTTGGAAGTCCTGAATTGCATGAAACACAAAACGGTTCATTTTGTCTGAAAGTCTGTGGTTCATGAATTTTCCTGATTTATGTCCATCTCTACTTGTGTCTATAATCAGGGCTCAGACATGTAACTAGATTTCCGTTCCCAGCTTTAGCTTTAGCTGGGAACTGCAGCTGCAGGTAAAAGTAACAAGGTCCTTTCTCAGTCCTCCATGACAATTTGCTGACTGTACCTGTAGTGATAGTACAAACGGTCCTGTAACTAGAGATGTGATAATATTAGTATAGACTGTCCTACAACTCTTCCCCCAGTGATTCCCACTAGCCTTTTCAGTGGGAAAATGAGATTTGTGGGATTTTCAGAATCTGCTGTATGGCAGAATATAGCCAATAGGAAGTGGGCTGACATTTCCTTCACATATTTGATAGCTCTCTGCAGGAAGAAGCAGGAAGAGAGACTGAGGTGATAGCTTTCTCTGAGGGGCAGCTGTCACTAGAGCTATAAAATATGCATTTTTCCTTGGATTTTTTCCTGCCTGATGATACATGTGATAAAATTTACCTACATGTGGGTTTATCATACCGGAAGGCATTCCAGTTTTCAACAGGCAAAAATCCAATTCAGGTAGCCACATAGGGCTGATGTAAGAGTTGACCACTGAGAAACTGGTTCAATGGGTTGGATTTAAGCCATGGTGAAATACTTATTGATATTGCATGATGACATTAATTAGATAAAAATGACATAGTAAAATAATTTAATTGGGCTTTGAACACTGGGGGTGACATGAAAACCAAACCCTAGCCGTTCTAATTTTTCTAACTTCCAGTTCACAGAAGTGTGGAGGAGCACAGATGCTTGCTGATTTACACAATTATTGTGCTCACATTTTGGCCAGCAATGGGGATGATTGCGGTGGAACCAAACCCAAAAAGGTGCACACAGAGAAGGAGATGGAAATTTGCCACAATCTAAGGAAATATGAAATACAATCAGAATGGGCACTGGCAAAAATTGTAAACTACACATGCACAATGGCTCTGCATACCAAGTTTTCTAATTCCTGTTGAGTGAATTAAAATGAAAATGTCTCCAGATGGCTACTTACCTGGTTTTCCCTTGGCTTTCATTCACTTGCTCAGGAGGACATCCAGGTGAATAAAGGCTCAAGACATCAAAAGAACAGAAGAGAACTACAGGAAACCTCTCAGTTTGAAATAAAGAAGATTACTGTGCGACATGGCACTTTTTCTATTAATATTTACTGTAGGTGGAAATGAAAGGATCCCTGCAGGTTTAATGATACAATTTGCTTCAGGTTTCCAATTGGACAAGCATACATTTCTGTCAAGAGACTTCTATTGTATTTGTGTGGGTAACTGCTTGCACTTACATGTATGTAGGTACATGTACTTAGTTTATAAAGGAACAAAAAATTACTCTGGGAGGGTGCACTCTAATGCAAAATATTATGCCAAAAACTGCAATGTGTGGAGACACTTGAGAACATACAGTATTTTTCCCTTAATGATTAGCTTGCTTTTTACATTTTCTTCTTTTTTTTGTGCTGAATTCTGTGCTCACTCAATAAATATGTGAGTGGGTGATTCTGGTGTTTTGATGTGATCTTCGCTCATGGGTTAGCCATTTTCTGCTCCACTACCAGTACCCTTTATAAATAAATCTGTGTGTTGTCATGATGTTGGCATTAAGCATGCCATTTAAATGCATTGTGATTGAGGATGGAACGTATTAATATTCAGTTCACTAGAAGGAAACATATGGACAAACCTCTTCCCAGAACTTCTTAGCAAAAGACTACTCTGGGATTTCAAGATGGAGGAACTGGCTGCTGAACACAAAGGTCTCCCTACCACAACTGTGCATTTTTCAAGCAACTGCAGGTTATGATTTGTCAGACATTTCCACCCCCTTTCTGAATGTTGATAACCTGAGACAGACACACTGGAACAAACTCAGGGAAAGTCAGCTTACTGGGCAAATTGTAGGAGTCAGCTTGTTCAGAGAACCTTGCAGAATTAATACATAGCAGTATTTCAGCATTTTGCAGGACAGCTTGCTATGCAACTTTACAAAAATAACCTTTTTATTTCTCCTATAGCATCACACAGATCCAGTCCAAAGGTTGCTTTGATGAGAGGCAGCTTGTAAACAGATCTGCATCAATCAGCAAGAACTACTTCTAATGTGCTTTGCAGAGTAACATC